TCCTGCCTGTAGCCTCCCCAGCTATTTCTTCTCTGGGGGAAGAGGCTTCTGGTCAGCTACAAATGCCAAGGACCTCCTCATGTGTCTGGTGTGTGTCCAGAGGAGTCCTGAGCTCTAGAAGGGGTCCTGTCCTCAAAGAGATGGGGCTTGCAGGGACCAGGCTGATGCAGCAGGTTTAAGGCCAACTTGCTGCAGTGTGAAACCTGATATTGCAGAGGGCCATCTGTGGGCAGTGACATTGCTACTGGCCCTCCTGTCTGCCCGAGACTCAGTCCCTGCCCATGCCAGCAGCCAGCAGAGCAGTAGCAGCTCTGCTCCTGTGCGCAGGCTGGCACAAACCCACCTCTCGTGCACCCCACCAGCATGTGGGGCCCCTCAGCTGCTCCATGCCCTGGTACAATCCTTCCCCTCTGATGGTAACATGGGACTTTCCACAGCTTTCCTCTCAAAACTGCATCTCCAGCTAACTGCAGCCCTGGGATAACTGCCCCGTGACCTGAGCTTGATCTGTGCTGCTGCTGCTCCGCTTGCTGTGACTGCTGCCCTGCTCTGGCACGGTCTGATTTCCTTCTCTCCCTTTCTCCTTCAGCCCATCAGTTTGCAGTCCAGGGACATCGAGCGCAAGTCCTCTCTGGTAACCTGTGTTTGTTGGCTGCATGCATGGGGTCTGTCCTGTTTGTGACGGTGGGAAGGAGCTGTGCTCTGGGGGGTGCTGTAAGGTGGGCTTTGCTGGGGGCAGGGGGTGGGAGCTCTATCAGACTGGAGAACCAGAAACTCTTGAGCAGTAGCAGGCTGCGCTCTTGTGGGGTGTTTAACTTTGCAGCAGTCTCTGTGGTCCTTGTTTTGTCTGCCCAGTCTGTTGGGCACGGGGAGCTGCTGGACAAGGACTCCTTTTCAAGCATGCTGGAAGACCAGGGCAGTAAGGACAGCCGGCAGGGCCAGTGGCAGCGGAGGCGGCGGCTGGACGGGGCCCTCAACCGTGTCCCTGTGGGCTTCTACCAGAAGGTCTGGAAGGTCCTGCAGAAGGTGAGCTGGATGTCCAGCTGGTGCCTCTCCTGTGGTCCCAGGCACCAGCCTTGCCAGGGGTACTTAGACACTCGGGGCTGGTCCCTGATATTGTGTAGATATGTGCTTCATGGACAAGGCCTGCAGCTGGCCCTGGAAAGCTGGGGAAGACCTGGAACTGCCTCGAAGTCACGTAGGACCTAACTCATCTTGTGCCTTGCAGAGGGGAGCATTAGCCAGACAAGGGCAGAGCTGGAGCCACAGCTGAAGGAGGTCCAGGCGCACCTCATGCTCAGCATGCTGAGCCAGGGAGCAGAGCCCTGTGCAGGGGGGCTCCGTTTGATGCTGAAATGATGGGAAAGGAGTGATGCTGTGCAGAGTCAGGAGGCAGAGCTGGGGTGTGTAGGCATCACACACCAGTGCTCAAGTGGGAGTGAGCTGGTGGGCTGGACCTATGTGTCTTAGCACGATGCTTCTCCAAGCCATAACCATGATCTTTCTTTCTTGTTCTGCAGTGCCATGGCCTCTCTGTGGAGGGCTTTGTTCTCCCCTCTTCAACAACCAGAGAGGTAGGAGGTTAATGTGAAGGGGAAATGGGGCATGCAGGTTGTTGCTGGGTGCTGGGTTGCCCTGGGTGAGTGCCCAGTGTAGCTCAGGACTTGTGCTGGTGATATGGTGCTCTCAGTACACTTCTTTCCACATGCTCACAGATGACCCCAGGGGAAATGAAGTTTGCTGCGCATGTGGAGTCTGTCCTCAACCGCGTGCCCCAGCCAGAGTACAGGCAGCTTCTGGTGGAAGCTATCTTGGTGCTCACCATGCTGGTGGACATGGAGGTGCACACCATCGGTGGCATCATACCTGTGGAAAAGATCTTGCACAGAGCCAACGACCTCTTCTATGAGGAGCAGGTAAGGGCCAAGCCTCACCCAGGGCTGCTGGCTGCGTTCCCCACAGCTGCACAGGGCTCACCCACCTGAGCAGGAGGGCCCTACCCCTTGTCCCTGTTGCGTTCATGGGTCACAGCAAAGCTGTGGTGTCCTCCTCCCGCTGCTCATTTTCAACTTGTCACACCTGTGAGCGCAACGGAGGGTGCTTGGGGTGGAAGCTGGTGAGGGGGTTGCTCTTATTCTAATGTCGGCTTTCTCCTTCCCTGTCCAAAATCCAGAAAGCCATGGGCGCTGATGACCAGATGTTGGAGAGGGATCCTTCGACAGGCATCTGCATCCTGCTGTACGACAGTGCCCCGAGCGGCCGGTTTGGCACCATGACCTACCTGTCCAAGTCGGTGGCCTTGTACGTGTACGACTTCCTGCCCACAGACAGCTGCTCCATGCAGTAGCTCTCGCAGCTCCTCGCTGGGTTGCAGATGCTGCGGGGAGGGTTGTTTCGTACAGCTTGTAAAGAGGAACACTAGGTTAGTTTGCAGGCAGCCTGCGTGGCCATCTCTCCTTCCAGCCCTGCCCTCTCAGTGGGTGAGCGGCCCTCCGAGGAGCCCCGCAGGAGGCACGTGTCCTAAACTGACCTGTGCCTATGTGTGGCCTGAGGAGCAAGGGAAAGGCTGAGCTTTGAAGCCTGCTTGTGTTAGAAGTGTCTGCCTGCATGGCTCCTCCTGAGCCATCACCCCCAGAGGGACCTCTGTTTGAGGCAGTTGACCAGACCTGCATGCTCAGCACTGCAGTGCTCCCTGACCAGCTCATACTCTCCCTGCCTCCAGCAGGTTTGCAGTTTTTAACTGTGTTTTAACTGTGCTGCTTTTTATTCCAATCTGCAGGATTTATACTAGTGTAGGCTGGAGCTCTTGCTCTTCCTGCTGCTGCTGGAATAGTTTTGCTAGAGAAATAGGGGATGATGCCTGAGCCTCTGTCCCAGCACGCCCAAAATCAAAATGGTCCAGCCCAGCCACAGCCGTGCTGCTTGGAAGTAGGCAGCCCATCCTCCTTCCCTCGGGGGTCCTGTGTGCAGAGCTGGGAAGGTTGTGGTAGCCAGGATCCCTGTTGCCAGCAAGATGTGAGGACAGGGTTTCTGGCTGGCTGGGGCATGCTGGTGGCAGCCCCTCTGTGCCATATACTTGTCCCTGGCAGCAGTGCTGGTGGCAGCCCCTCTGTGCCATATACTTGTCCCTGGCAGCAGTGCTGGTGGCAGCCCCTCTGTGCCATATACTTGTCCCTGGCAGCAGTGCTGGTGGCCAGGTCGCAGGTTCCTGAGTTCACACGTGCCTTTTGAAGCACCTCTGAGCTGGCTGCTTGGTGTTATCTGTGCAATCACAGCCGTGCCCTTAATGCTCAGCTCTGGCCTTGGCCCCAGCTCCCACAGCCTGGCACAGGGAGGGGTGGGGACACAGAGGGTGCCTGCTCCACTCTATCCTGCAGGTGCAGCTCTGAGCAAAGGTCCCTTTCCCCTTTGGGGAAGGTGGATCCTATCCAACATCAGTGTGCCTGGGGCTGTACAGGCTGTGCTGTTATAGATAAATCTGAAATTGTGGCAGTGACACCAGCCACCAAGTCATATATTTAACAGACTAGATCTGTCTCTTCCAATGTCCCTGCCCACAACTGGAGGGATGGAGGAAAGAACCTGTGTTTCAGAATCACTTACCAACCATCCCCACACCCTGAAGTCTCTTTTGATTGCCCTTGGACTACGTGTTGTGGCTTCATTGCCGACCACGTGGAAGGCCAGCAGTGGGTAAAAGTCCGAGGGCTGAACCAGGCTGGGAAGTTTCCTAGTGCTGCCCTTAACCTGGGCCTCAGGGAGGCAGCAGACTTCCCTGAGGACTGTCTGTGTGGCATCTTGGACCATCTGTGCCCCTCAGAAAGCAGTCACCTGCAGCTCTCACCCATCTTTCTTGTAGAGGTTGCCATGGTCTGGAGGGTATCACAGCCATGGCAACACCTCTGGTGTAGATGGACTAACATGCACCTCGTCCATTGCCTGGCCTTCCAGAGCCAGAGCTTCGTACCTGCTATAGAGTCACAGGGAGAGGTAACCTGGGCAAGGAGGGGATTTGGCTCCACCCACTCCTTTCCTCTATTCCTGCCTTCACCTGCCAGGGGAGGATGCAGGATCTGCTTGAACCCGTGTACTTTCGGGTGGCTGTTCCTGTTTCTGTCAGGGAGGGCAGAGCCTGGTTCCACTAGCCTCTCTCTCAGACTCCCTTCTGCTCCTTAACCTTTCTACGCCTTCATAGCTCAGCCCCAAGGCTGAGCAGATCACTGTCCCCTTGGTCACACTGAACACAGCTTTTCTCACCACTGCCATCGTTCCCAGGGAAAGGCACTGGCACTCCTTGCACCCAGAGGCCTGATGGCTGCATATTCTCCTGGGAGCTCTGCCAGGGTGGCCACATCCACTGTGGCAAGCACAGAGGACGTGGTCTGTGCCAGGTGGATGCCCCAGCAGAGCTCCTTCTGAGAGGGCGATGGTCACCAGCTCAACTTGCCTCTTGAGCTGGGAGGGTGACAGTGCCTGTGCCACGTGCCAACACCGTGCTCTGCCCAGGCTGCCCGCCGCGCTCCCCGGGGTGGCCCCAGAGCCAGATGTTTTCCTGTGTGTGTTTCTGTGGTTTTTGATCTCCAGAGGTTGGTTCGGCCTCAAAGCCGGAGGGGGGCAGGGTGTCTCTCGAGCCATCGGCTGTTGTGTACGTGTTGCTGATCCCTCCCACCGTGACCCCTGCCCCGGGCAAAGGAGCCTTGATAGGGCCGAGCCCCAGCCCGGCTCCTCCCTCCGGCACGGGGGGCCCGGTGGGAGCTGCCTGGGCTCGGCGGGGCTCGGGCACCCCGAGCAGGGCGGGCGGTGCGTGCGGGGCTCAGTCCTTTTCTAATGACAATTACTACGTTTTTAGATAATAGACACCACCCCGAGCCGCGTGGGGGCCCCAATAAAAACGTCTCTAACAGCGTGTGCGGCCTGTCCTTGCCCGGCCTGGCTGGGAGGGAGGGAGGGCGGCGGGGCGGGCCTACAGCTCCCGGCGGGCCGCGGGGCCGGAACCGCCCGTGCTGCTGCGCCCCGGCCCCGGCCGTGTGGGCCTCGATGGCGGCGGCGCCGCCGGTCTACGTGTACAGCCCGGAGTACGTGGAGCTCTGCGACTCCCTCTGCAAAGTGCCCAAGCGGGTCAGCGCCGCGCCGGGGGTGGCGGGGCGGGGGGCCCGGCACGGCGGGAGGGAGCGGGGAACGGGCGGCCCCGGCGGAAGGAGTGTGCGGTCAGAGTCGGGGGGGGCCCGTCTGTGCCCTCACACCGCCCCTGGCAGCGCCGTGACAGCGACACTGAAGCGCTGCGCTTCCCTTCCCCGGCTGTGCCTCTGCCCGGGACACCGGGAGGCCCATCACGCACCCCCGGGATGCCCTGCCCGGCTCCAGCCGTGCCGGGAGAGCCGCTGCTGGGGGGAGTCACAGCCACAGCTCGGCTGCGAGTCCTTCCTTGGGCCCCCCCATGCCCCCGGTTGCTGCCCTTGTGTCTCCTGCTCTCACGGATGTACTCTTCTCTTTAGGCCAGCATGGTGCATTCGTTGATTGAGGCGTATTGCCTGCTCGACCAGATGAAGTAAGTGCTCCCGTTTTCTGTGAAGGGGTGTTTTCTTCTCCGCTGAGGTTTGGAAGGTGCTGAGTAACTTCAGGTTTCACGCTGTCCCTGCTGGCAGGGAGCCCCCACAGTGTGTATTTCTAAGGAATCTACACTGTGTATTTCTAAGGATCTAAGGAAAGTGCTTGTTTTACCACGTGGACACGATTACAGTGGAAGGTGTAATTCGTGGTTACTCTCCTGGTCTGGTGGAGCACAGATTTTTCTCGTGCCTTCTCTGCAGAGTGTCTGTCACCCCCAGGCTTGGGGCTTGGAGCAGGGTGACAACCTTGGTGCTGCTCCAGATCCACTGCTCAGTCAGTGCTGATACAGAGAGGGACCTTGTTGTTTTGCTGTGTCGTGATTGATCTGGGAGACTTCTTGTGAGGTCTTGGGGCTGTTCAGGAGAGAAGACAAGGTGAAACCTGGGGCAGAAGAGTGAGATCCCTCCTGCTTCATTTGGCTTTTGACACTGGAGCATATGAAGGGAATAAAAGGCTTAGCTCAGCCTCTCTTATATTCTTAAAAAAAAATCCCATGCTCCAGTTCAGCAGGGCCAGAAGGTCCTATTGGGACTTCTTTTTTAAAAGAATTTTTTTTTTTTTTAGCCATTTTGGCAGTGTGCTTGGTGCCTGGCTGCAGGTGCCATCATCTAGCAGACCTGAAGGGCTGTTTGCCTTGGCAGGGGCTGGGAAGTGCCTGGCACTGGGACCAGCCTAGAGTTGGGAATTTCCTACGGTCTTCCCATTCTTTCCTATGCTGTGCTGCCCATGTGTGCCCCCGGTGTCTGAGATTTGGAGAGGGTTCAGTGTGTTGCAGGATTTGTTTAGGCAGACTGCAAAGCACCCAAACCCAGGAAGGTGCTGGGAACAGCAATAGTCTCTGCTTTGATGCAGGTGTAGGTCAGAGCACTTGAGAAGTGCTGTCCAGCTCCTGACCTGAAAGGGTGGGGTCCTGCTGCAGCAGCTGGGACTGGACTTTTCCCTCTGTTAGTGCCTCTGTGTGTAACCAGAATGTTGGATCCACTGGGCATTGCTCATACTGGGAGAACATGCAGAAAAGGGGGAAAAACACTTGAAGCAAAATAGGAAGGTCAGTGCAGGCAGCACCTGTAGGTGTTGTTCCCTGTGCTGGGCATAGCAGGCAGTGCTATGCTGGAGTCAAGGCCAGCTCAGCTGGATGTTTGCTCACTGGAGTGGCAGTCTGGTGCGAGAGAAAGAGGGATGTTTGTTTGCTTTTACCACAGTAACTGCCAGAAGAAGACTTCTAGGTTAAAGGCTAAAGCTGAGCATTCCAGCCAAACCCTAGGCCCTCTTGTCCTGACATGCTCCCTTCCTTCTCTCTGCCTAGGATAGTCAAGCCAAAAGTGGCCTCCATGGAGGAGATGGCAAGTTTCCACACAGATGCTTACCTGCAGCACCTGCAGAAGGTCAGTGAGGAGGGGGATGATGACCATCCGGAGTCTGTGGAGTATGGACTGGGTAAGGACGTGTGTCTTCAGCGAGAGCTTAGCTGAGTGTCAGGACCAGGATGCTTTTTTTGCTGCAGCTGCAGTTAGAGTGGTGAGCTCAGGAGTAGGTCCCTTCTATGGGGTCAGCCCTTCAGAAACAAGCTGCTCCAGCATGGGTCCCTTTCCATAGAATCAGTCCTTCAGGAACTGCTCCAGTGTGGGTCCCTTTCCATGGGGTCAGTCCTTCAGGAATAAGCTGTTCCAGCATGGGTCCCCTGCAGAGTCACAGGTCCTGCCAGCAAACCTGCTGCAGCGTGGGTCCCTTCCATGGAGTTACAGCTTTGTTCAGGCACACTCCCCTGCTTCTGGGACATAGGGTCCTCCAGGGGCTGCAGGGCCATCTCTGCTCCATCGTGGACCTCCACGGGCTGCAGGGGCATAGCTGCCTCATTGTGGTCTGTACCATGGGCTGCAGGAACTCCAGTGCCTGGATCACCTCCTGCCCCTCCTTTCCTGCTGACTTTGGGGCCTGCAGGGTAGTTTCTTTCACAGGCTCTCACCTCTCTCCCAGGTGCTGCACCGTGGTTTTTGCCCTTTGTTTGATATGTTCTCCCACAGGCTCTGCCCGCAGTGCTGATGGGCTCAGCCTTGCCCAGAGGCAGGTCCGTCCTGGAGTTCTGTCCAACATGGGGGCAGCTCCTGGTGGCTGCTCACAGAAACCACCCCTGCAGCCCCCCCACTGCGAACACCTTACCACGCAAACCCACCACAACTTTATTCCTACTCAGGCCCCCTGAATCTGCTGTGTGAGTCCAAAGCTGACAGCTGTTGTGAGGGTTTGTGCCATGGCTTTGGCGTTGTGTTTGGAACAGAAGGTCAGAGCCGCACTTAAAGAAGATGGCTCAAACAAAAGGAATGTGCTTCCCCTGGAGGAAAAGGCCTGTTGTGTCTGACATGTGGACTCTTACCTGGACTTTTACCTGCAGGTTATGACTGTCCAGCCACTGAAGGGATCTTTGAGTATGCGGCGGCCGTGGGAGGAGCCACCATCACTGCAGCCCAGTGCCTGCTGGACGGCAAGTGCAAGGTAGCAATTAACTGGCCTGGAGGGTGGCATCATGCAAAGAAGTAAGAAAACAATCTCTTCCCTTGTGTTTTCTCACCTGGTATCTGAACCCCGCTTCCTAGCTCCCGGCTCCCCTGCGAACCCTCAGGGTGCGGCGATCCAGCTGGGAGAGAAGGCAAGGTGTGAGGGAAGGCAGAAGGTAGAGAGGGCAGGGCAAAGGCCTGAGAGGAGGCCGGTCACTGCCCGGTGCTGTTGCTGTCATGGACTGCAGGGAGGGTCTGGAGCAGGTATATTCACAGATGTCCCGCCATTCCTTGATACTTGGTTATCTCCGGCAGTTCAAGTGAGAAGGGATTTTGTGAGGTCCATAGAGAAGCACTGTGGAGAGTCAAATGATTGATGCAGCTTGGAACACAATGGGAATGTGGCAACATGTTGGCCAAATTGTTTTGTGTGGCTTTTTTGGTTTCTTAATAAGAGGTTTGAAAAGGTGCAAGGTTGACCTTGGGTTTCCCTACACTCCATGGGGGGCTGTTTGCTCTGAACTCTAACATCAATAATGATCTTCCAGCACAACAGGAGAGGAAGTAAAAGTTTTGATCCTGAATTCTGTGGTTCTGTAATGGTAAAATAATTTGTTTCCATCCCATTTTCCATGGATGTATGTTTTATTTAACTTGTGTCCCCCATCTCCCAAAACATGGGGCCTGTCTGCAGTGCAGACAAGACAGTATGTCTTCCTTGTCCACAGCCAACTGGCCTTCACAGTGCTATTCTGTGTCCCTGGGGAGCCCCAGGAATTTGCATGAACCCCGTGTCTAACCCTGAGAGCTTGAACATGGATGTGCAGATGCCTCTCCTTGCTGCAGTGACTTTTCTGACCTGGCAGAGGACCTCTGAAGGTGTAACAGTGGTGTGCGAGCTGGGTTCTCGTCCTCCTCTGGGCCCCTGTGAGGTGGAGACTTGCAAAGTCAGGGTGTCAGCACCGAGACTGGTGGTGACTGCATTGGCAACGTTCAACGTCATGGACATTGTTTTCACAGGGATGAAGCTTCTGGCTTCTGTTACCTGAATGATGCCGTCCTGGGGATCCTGCGGCTGCGCCAGAAATTTGACCGTGTGCTTTATATCGATTTGGATTTGCATCATGGGGATGGTAAGGCCCAGCAAAGGCTGCAAACAGCACAGCTGCACAGGCCCAGGGGGAGGAACGGGAGAAGTTAAGGCCTGTTGGCGCAGCAGAACTTTATGTGCTGCCACAGCTGTGGCTTTGCCTCCTTTCAGTGCAGTTGAGTTCACTCAATCCATTTCTGCCTTGTCCTGTTTTATGAAGTTGCCCTTCAGATGCTGCTGTTCAGACCTCTCTTGAGGGTCTGGGCAGGAGTCTTGTACCTAAAGCAACAGACAGTGTTGTCCTAGTCTCCCATCCTGGCAGAGCAGTTGCTGACAGGGTTTAATTGTTTAATGCTCCAGTGCCAGAGGGAAGCAGCCAGTAGTAAACGGTGCTTTTAAAAGAAGGCTTGATGCTATAAAACTAAAGCCAGAGCTGGCCTTTCTGAAACTGCTCTCTCCTTCAGGGACACGATTTCAGCACCATTTAACATTTCCCGCTCTTCTAAATTTTATGGTGTGTTTCATTTTGCTCCGTTTTCTCCCTGCATTTGGTTTCTCTTAAGTTTCCTGTTACTTCTTTTTCCCTCCCCCCACCCCCACTATTTTAATATGTCTTTAAGGAAAAGAAAAGGCATGTTGAACCGCAGCAGCACTGAGAAAAAGCGAGAGAGCCCGGTAGCACTGGTTCTAATCAGAGCCAAGCTCTGGCCAAGGCAGCCCTGCTCGGATCCCTCTCCCAGCCTCGCAGGCCGAGCAGCGCAGGCGAGTGCTGCTGCCCTGGGCACTGACGTGAGGTATCGAGATCCGTTCAGTACTGATTAGCATGAGACCTGCCAAATTCATTTCAGTTGTGACCTTTGCTGCAGTTGAACTCAGGTCTCTGTGAATCGAGAATGGATTTATGGAGCCACATCTGCATTTCTGCTTCGCTCATGCTGCTCCTGCTCTGCTTGCTGCCCCATGTTTATCAAGCAGCTCTGTTTGTGTGTTCAGGCTCTGTCATTTATATGAATCGTGCATGAAAGCTGTTTTTTCTTTCCTGGTAGGAGTTGAAGATGCCTTTAGTTTCACCTCGAAAGTCATGACTGTTTCTCTGCACAAGTTTTCACCAGGATTTTTTCCAGGCAAGTTGAACATGTGAGGTTTTGTGCTCATTTGGTTCATGCCTTTGCTGGGGCCTCACCAATGATGCAAGTCCCATCCCTGCTGTCCAGAAGAGATGTCTTGCTGCCTCTCCTCTCGACCCAGAAGAAGGAAGGAGCAGGGAGCTACATGTTTGGTGTTTCCACCTTTGTGGTTGTGACTGAGCTCTGGGCAGAGCCCCTTCGACTCTGCATGGCAGAATTGGGCAGAGGAGAGAACTGGGTCCCTCCCACCCTCCTTTCTTGGTGGTGGCAAGTGGACTTCTCCATTAGTGTGCCGAAGGTCCTGGCTTTCAGCTCTCCTCTGAGAAATCCCACACATCTCTCTCTTGCAGCTCCTCTGCTTTCCCTCGTAACTGGGGTGTTTCTGTTGCACAGGCACTGGTGATGTGACAGATGTTGGCCTGGGGAAAGGTCGCTATTACAGCGTGAACGTGCCCATTCAAGATGGCATTCAAGATGAGAAATATTACCAGATCTGTGAAACGTAAGCCCTCTTGCTCCAGTACATCTTACTTGGACGGGATTTTAGAGAATAAGACACTATGCAGCTCACTACTTTTAATTACAGTCCTTTCTTAAGGCGTGCCCCTTCCCCTCTTGCACCCTCTGATTGCAGTGAGCATGGATTGTAAGAGTTCTCAGAGGTCTTGTCCAGGTTCTTAAGCAAACTGAATATACAGAGACATTTGTGGGTGGCTGGAGAGTCTCTGCCACAGGTCAGCCTTGTGTGTCTAAGGAGAGACTGAGAAGGCACAAGTATTTTTTAGCTGTGGACTTAGGGCTAGATGTTTTTCCTTCAAATAAGTGCACCGAATCCTGACATTCTGTGGGACATATGCTTGGGGCTTAGCTAAAAGTGTTTTCCAAGTACCCTCTGTCCATGCTGGAAGAGTGAAAGGCTGAAGGCTGAACATGTGACAGTGATGGAGCTGCCTCCTGGCAGGCTCCTCTGTCACTCAGCTGGTGATGGGCCTCACAAACCTTGTCAAAACTGGGCTGCAGGGCTTGTTCTTTTCCAGGGAGAGGAGCCTCAGCACCAGGCTGCAGGACACAGTAGCACATCCACCTCTCAGCTCTAACACTTGAGGGCTGAAACCTCTCCAGACTTGTAGGGCGGTCGTGTGGAGGCCATGCCTCCTGCTAGCTTGCTGATGCTTGCCACTGCTGGGGTAGAACAGCCTTCTTTCTGCCGGGAAACATGCTTCTAAAAAGCAGCTCTAGGGGCTGAAAGGGCTGACCAGGAGCCTGGTCAGGAGGAACCTACTGCATGCATTCACAGCTGAAGGACATCATAACCTGCCTAGATTCCAAGCTGTGTATAACCAAAGCTTCTACAAAGAGATTTTGAGATTTTGAGTTCTGTCCAGGCTGGGAAGCAGTCATGGGCCTGACTGTGGATGTCTGATTGTCTGAGGGTGATTGCCTGTGCTTCCCAAAACCGTGGTGGGCTTGAAGCACAGGGCTCCCTCCAATGCAGGCTGACTACACCTTGCACAGAGCTTTTCCTTTTGTTTTTGCCTCAGGAGCCACATAAGAGAGAGGAGAATGAGAACCTAGCCAGAGCCTTCCTCTGTTTGTCAGTGAGATCTCAGTGAGAGATGTCTGAGAGTTCAGGATTGTTGTTTTGCCTCATCTCCACCGCGACCTTCAGAGGGGAGAGAAGCCTCTGGATTTGTCTTGCAGCCAAAGAGCAGCCAGTGCAAATGTGGAGTTTGATGCTACCATAAGCTGATGAGGACCAGGTCCCCCTCCCCAATGTTGTCAGTGGTGCTTTTGCCTTCATCAGCCTGGTGATAAGTTCTCTGAGAGCTAAACTTGCTGCGGGAGAGCAGTGGGGGCAGAAGGCTAACTGGGAGCAGAGGGAGTGTGACTGGTACAAGCTGGGTGGAAGCAGAGAACGCAGAAACCCCGAGAGGCATTGGTGGATCTGAGGGCCCAGAGCTGTGCTACCAGCATCCCTGTGGCATTAACCCCCAGTGCTCCTGCTCTCCACAGCGTGCTGAAGGAGGTGTACGCCGCCTTCAACCCCGACGCGGTCGTGCTGCAGCTGGGGGCCGACACCATCGCTGGGGACCCCATGTGCTCCTTCAACATGACGCCCGAGGGAGTGGGCAAGTGCCTCAAGTATGTCCTGCAGTGGCAGCTAGCAACTCTCGTGCTGGGGGGAGGTGAGTGTGTCCTGCTGGTCTCAGAGAAACACGTTTGTCCTCCCGTGACCCTTCCTCGAGTGCCTGTCCTTGGGCTCGGCACTGGCCGGGGTTTAGCAGGGTGACTGCTGGGCAGTGTCAGGAGGGCATGCCATGGTACAGTACTGTGTCCTCACACCTGAAATCCTTGATACTGACAGGTGAAAGTCTCAGTCCTGACTCTCACATCTTATTAAAAGCTGCATGGCTCCTCTGGAGAAGAGGAAAGGACGACAAACTGATCGTGACTTCTCAGTGGCACCTCTGATTCCCATCTCTGCTGATCAGCCTTCCAGTGCTTCTCTTTAAAAGTGAGCACTGTGTTCCCAAACCTACTTTGGGCACCTGGCAATGAATGGTTTTGTTTAGATTCAAGCAGGGGCTTGGGACAAGGACTGGCTGCCTGCAAAGTACAGCAGGGCTCTGATACCCAGTGAAAGCTAAGGTGGACTTATCTCTGCTGTGCTGCATAACCAGCTGCCTGTCCAGTGGGGAGAGCACAGGACAGGCTTTTTGTAACGGAGCATTTCAGAACAACAAAAGCCACTGTGTGCCAGGGAGAGCTCCATGCCTGGAGGCAGATCAGCTCTAGCTGCTGTCCTTTTTGAGATGGGGGAAATCAGGTATAGCATGTTACACCTAAAATTTGATGTGCCTGATGCTCTTTGTTTTGGAAAGGTTATGAGTGTTCAATCCTGCTGTGGCCTGTCTGTGGGTATGCTGGGGATGTCACCTTTCAGACAAAAAACCCCAAAACTTTTGTCAAAAAATGAGGGACAACTATTTGTCGCTCTTGAAAATACCAAAGCAGTGTCCCACCACTGCAGAGCATTTGAAGTGGGAGGTGGGGAAGGAGTGAAAAAAAGCAGGAAAAGCCCCTACAACAACCAACCCAAACAGAAGGGAATTTTGAAAAATACAGTCTCCCTGTCTTGTCATTGTGTTTCTCTCTCTTCACTATTCTAGTCATCTTTCCTGAAAAAAAACCTTACCTGAGTTTCTTGTGTATTTTGGTTTTTGGGTCTAAGGCTGGCATTAAAAAGCAGGAAGCCCCTGTTTCTGCTGCAGCCCTTGCACTTCCCTCCCTGCTACATGTGGGCACCTCTCCTTGTTGCCAGGAGAGAGTCCAGCACATGGGGCTGGGAGCTCATGCTGGGTCTGAGATGGTGGCTGAAGGACTGACCTCTGCCCCACCAGCTGTAACTGGGGTTCAGTTTGAGAGGTCTGCTCTTGCACACAGTGTCATTTGGACCTGGCCTCGTGTAGCCAGCAGGTGCAAAATGCAGATTTTGGGCACAGCTTGAGTGGATGAAATAAGCTGAATTCATGTGAACTGTGCACACTGCCTCCACAGTTTGTTCCTTCCACTAAAATCTCTCCCTCTCTCTTCCCTTTCCCCACTCTTCCCCCTCAAAATCCCAATTCTTACTGGAAACAGGAGGTTACAACCTTGCCAACACAGCTCGCTGCTGGACATACTTGACTGGGGTGATCCTTGGGAGAACACTGTCCTCGGAGATCCCTGACCACGAGGTAATGCTGTGAAAAACCCTCCCTTCTCCTTGCAGAAGAGACAGTCATTCCACCTAATAATCCACACAGCATCCTTGCCACTTAGTCCTGTTTTGTGGAGACACTCCTGTAACAATACCACCCTATCCCAGCAGCATGGTGGGTGCTTGTGCCCAAAAGCGGAGGCTGCAGCTTTCTGGGAGGGATCTCAGGAACCAATAAACTTCAGTCTCTGATGGTTACAGAGAGGATGGGTGGAGGGAGCCACCAGTTGCTCAAAGAGCTCTTTAGGGTGTGCATGTACTTTTGCCTTTCTCGAGGCTTTGAATTTTAACCCTGCTTTTATCAACATACAGAAAGGACCAGGTGCAGCTTTGAAGCTTTGGCTGTGGGGCCAGGTGCTGTCTCAGTGCCAGTCCTGGTGCTTTTCATGTCTTGAGTGGGGCTGGACAGTGTGAATTAACTTCTGTCTAGTGAATCTGTTTCCCCTGACATGGGAATGCCAGTTGGTTGATGAAACTCATGGAAGAGTTTCATGGAAGACTACCCTGCCAGGGACCTGGGAAGCCCTCCCACCTTGGGGCTGTGGTTCAGCTGTTCAACACATTGCTCTGTGTTCTGGGGAGGAATGGCCCAGGTGTTGGCACACCAAAAGCAGGAGTTTGAGATCCAGCACCCTCTCACCCTTGAGGGGATATGCACACTCTGTGCTAGTATGGACCAGCTTGTACTGGATCATGTTGTGCATCTTTCCCGAGAGAGTGTTCCTCCATGTGTGGGAACCTTCTGCTTCTCAGGAGCACCAAAACAAGTAGGATTTCTGATGGAGGCTGTGATATATAGGTATCAGTCTCTCCTGCTGCTGAACCTGGCTTTGGGACACAACAGAGTCAGAAATACTCATATCCAATGGCACATGCACATCGGTCCTTAGCAGAGGGAGATGCCTCTGTAATAAGAAACTGGGATAGGATGCCTGTAATAAGGAAACAAGAAATCCTGATGCTTTAGGTACGGGCAGAGGTCACTGTGGAGAGCACAGTGACAGTGTGCTGGTGCAGCTCCCTGCCTGCTTTCCTGAGACCTCTGTGCTGTTCAGGGGCATGAGAACATTGTTCAGTAGCCTCTGCACGATGGGGGCAGCACATGGCCCCACACACTCAACATCCAGCTGAGAACAGCAGAGGTGTGGTCTGGGGCTCTTCATGCTAAGATGCCATGGGAGTGCTTGTCCAGATGTTTGCTGGGTGACTCTGGTGGAGAAGGCAAACTGAACAAGCAGTTCAGTGCCCAGGGTGCAGCTGCCTTCCCTTGTGGGTGTCTGTGTGCTGTGCACTGCATTTGGGGCCCTCCTACTGCCTGCCTGCATTCCAGCTCTTCCTCTGAAGCATGGAGAGGGACACATCCATACTTGGCTCTGTTTGAAAAGCCACAGAGTGAACCAGGAAAGCCCTGTGTAAACAAAGGCAAGTCTGCCTCTCACAGGGGTCAGAGCAAAAGGCAGTAAGATGGTTGGAATGTTTTTTGGAGGACAGTTTCAAATAATACTTAAACATCGTCCTTGTGAGCCATAGCCCATCTTGCTCTGACATTTACTGATCCTAAAATCCACTTTCTGTCTTTTCTGATGGGCTCATCTTGCATCAGAGCTTGACAGAGAGCAGTCAGATGTCAGGCAGTGCTTTGCCCTTGTCTTACTCCAGATTCCTATGTCTGCTCCTGGATTTTTGACTTGACAAATGTGCTTAAACCTTACAAACCTCAGATTTTTAGGGGAAGAAGTGCATGAGTATGTATTCACTTCACTTTGATGGGAATTCTTCTGTTCCCTTCTCTCGCTCCATGAGTCACTGTATTTAGAGAAGGCTTTTTTTTCCCTGTAGATGGAAGCAGTCCAAGGTAACATTGTTCCTTACCTGGCTAGTGCAGGTTCCAGGCCAGCACTTTGAGATGCAGCCTGTTCTCTATGATTAAGGATGAGACATCTTCACCTTGCATTAATCCTACAGAGCTTCCCAACAGAATCTCCCAGAGAAGGTATAGCTGAATGGTTTGGCATATTTTAGAGTCCTTCTCATGAGTATATTTTAGCCTCTGTAACCTTCCCATGCAATGCTCCAGGCTCCCTGCATTTTGCTGTTGGCATTTTTAAGGTAAACTGGTGGAAGCAGGTTTGGTGGAGGGAAAAGCATGAAGGAAGAGGTTTGGAGGCCACTGGGAATGAAATATTTACACAGCTAGGGAATAACTGAAGGGGAGGCAGCATGAGCTTTCACTGTATGTGGATGGATTTGTGTGCACACAGGGTTGATGCCTTTTTGTCAGATTCCCAGGGCTTTTTTCCTGCTGCTTCTGGCAAAGAACCACTAGTGGTTTAATAGCTTATCAGTGCCTGTGCACAGAAACAAAGGTTGGTACTTCCTGATTTCATGTTTTCTTTGCTTTAAATAGGAATTCCCATTCTGATTAACACGAAATGTGGAAACTGAGCTGTCAGCCTTTTGAGATCAGTGCAGAATTCCTGACTGTGAGCAGCTTAAAGGCAGTCCCACCACTGCTTTCCTGCTGTCCAGCCACAGGGCTCTGCTCACCTCTTGAAGGAAACTCCTGAGAATTTGTGGGCTGGGACAGATTGTTGCTGAAGCACTGGCTGTGAGGTGGCTAGGCTGTGCTGTTCCATCAGTCTCCAGGTCTGGCAAACTCTTTTAGTAATGATGGGCCAAATTCCACACAGTTGTATTCAGCACTTTGCTTCTCCTAAAGCCTTGAGGGGCTTGGGGATGTTCTTGACAGCTCCAGGTCTTGAAATCAAGTTACTATGAAAGAAAGACAATATTCAGAAACCTGGAGGTCTTTTGGTCGTTTTTGGTTGGTTTTTTTTTTGTCCACGAGTTTGTAGAGAAGGGCTTGAAAACAAGACAGCTGTGGTTTGGAGACCCAGAAACATTTGACTGAGCATCAGTGTAATGGTGTTTAAATAGTCTGAGGATGTCTGGAAAGACCAGCGTAGAATTCCTTGAACATCCAGTGCTGATGGTGTCATGAGTCATGGTCCCATCACAGCAGGTTCTACCAGTGAACTGTTTTCCTAAAATCAGGAACAGAATGTGGACTTCCGTAAGATGCCTAATTTTTTGCTGTTGGCATAGTACTTGTTGTCAGGTCTGGCATTATTCAGTAGAATAGGTAGCACTTGAATTTTGTTGACTAAAAAATCAGGTTAATCATGTGTAAAATGAGTGTCAACAGCTTTCCCAAATTAAACACTGGGATAGACACTTGACTGCTTTTGGCTGCACCATTGGGCTCTGCTTCCCAAGCCCTTGAACTGAGGAATGGTTGAAAACTCCAGGTGGGCACAGACACTGCAGAAGCACCACCTTGATGTCGTGAAGCCACATGTGGCCCTCAGATGGAGAAACTGTTTCTTGCCTTTTTCCAAACAGGTACCCACAGAGAACCCTGCCCCCAGCCTCAGCCACCAGGGCCTCTCTGCTGACTCTCCCCTCCTCTTCCCTCCAGTTCTTCACAGAGTATGGTCCTGACTACGTGCTGGAGATCACCCCAAGCTGCAGACCAGACCGCAATGAGCCACAGAGAATTCAAGAAATTCTGAACTCTATCAAAGGTGAGTTGTCCAAGCCAACACTCCTGCTTTGGGCTTCCAGGTCCTTTTAGAGAGGGCTTCAGAAGAGCGCACTGGAGTCTTTCTCACTGACTAGAAAGATGAACCGTGTTCACTTGGCTGCTCATTAGTGCACAGAGTCATCTGCCTCCTACTTCCTTGGGATTCTCAGGGTTGGTGATAAAGAGCTGTGGGTCCCTGTAGCCATGCCCTGTAGCTGGGCAGAGGAGCACAGGGCCTTGTCCTCACTGGAATCATGGAACAGCCCAGGTTCTAAAGGACTTCAAAGATCACCTGGTCCGACCTTTTTGTGGGAAAGGGAGGCTAGACAAGATTACCTAGCACTCTGTCCAGTCACATCTTGAAACCTTCTGACACTGAGGCCTCTACCATGTCCCTGTGGAGTTTACTCCAGTGATTGTTCTCACTGTAAAAAAACTCTTAAAATAAGGTGAAACCTCTCCAGCTTCCTTTTATTTGCAGGGAATCTGAAGCATGTTGTTTAGCAGAGGAGGAAGGCTCAGTTTCTGCAAGAGCATTTCCCATGGGGAAGACAGCGTATTTACCTGAGCAACTGGTGAAATTTGTGGCTGCAGGGAAAATTTGGAAGAAATTACTGTTGGTTGGTTAATTTTTTTTCTCTTTTAAGAAGAAAAGCTGCTGCACGTCACGAGCACTGTGGCTCTCCCCAGGCAGGAGTGTGGGCCCTCCAGCCACAGCCTTCCAGTGCCGGCAGAGCCTCCCTTGCTCCTTCCCCTTTCCTTTTTTAACACCACAGAGTTTGTTCTCACAACTGATTTTAAATGTTTTTTAAGAGAGAGGCTGCTCAGAGCTTCAAGCCCTCCCCAGCTGGAGCCCAGAACCACGTTACCTTCCTGGCAGGGGCACAGCCTCAGAGCTGCCCGCCCGGGAAGCAGAGCCGAGGGCCAGCCTGGGGCACAGGCTGTGTCTCCTACCCACAGAAAGGCACAGCCACTGTGTTTTTAACTGGGAATTTTTTTTAAAATAAAATGTTTGAAATATTCCTCCAGCCCTTCTCTTTCTTCCTGCACCCACCCTGCCTTGCCAGTGGTCTTTTCCACAGCATCCCCCCCACCCTGCAAGGCCATGGGTGGGTTCCTGAAATCCTGTGCAGAGGGGCCAGACCCTGGGGATCCTCTCCAGAGTGTCGAGGGAGATTCAGTGTGGCAGCTCCTATCCCAGGAGATCTTGGATGAACCTCCAGATGCCCCAGTGCCCCATGCGAGTGGCCACAAGGGATCTAAGCAAGGGAACAGGTAAACAGGTACAGAGGTATTGGGGGCAGATATCACTCGATGCCTCAGGCCACAGAGCCTGGCCTCTGCTGCTCTTGTCCCCTCATTGACCTGGCCCACGGAGCTTTTGTTGTGCTGGGATTTTTTTAAGATGTCCAGTCACTGTGGGAAAGCATATTTCCTGTGGCTTTAATTAGATTACGCTGGAATAAATAGCAAGATGAAGGGGCTCCCAGCCTGGCCTTGACTTTGTTTTGCTCTCTTGTTTTTCTCTGCCGATTGAAACAACAGGAAATCTGGCGTGGAGGGAGTTCAGCAGGATGTGGCTCCCATGACTCCTGACCCCCTTCTCCGCTTCCATGTACCCTTGGCACCTGCTGTGGTGTGGTGTGATGGGGAGAGACCAGTCTTGTGTGGTCACTGCTGGCAGGAGGCTGGTGCTGCTACTAGCACAGCAAAGGGTTCCAGTGTCCTGGGGACTGTTCAGCCAGGGGAAAAGTGAGGAAGGAGAGAGCAGAGAAGCTGGCCAGCTGCCTCCTCTGACCAACCTGAGGGCCCCACATGCTCTGTCCCTGCACCAGGCAGACTGCCCTGTGAGCTGTGGGAGCTGCTTCAGGAACAGAACTGGGAAAATAAACAATAGGAAACCCCACAAGTGTCAAGCATTGCAGTACTAAGTAGGCTTTAGGTGAGGTGCAGGGAGACCTGTAAGCAGGTTGCCCACCCACAGACAGCTGAGAAAACTGAGCTGTGGGGCAAGGCACCCCTTCTGCCATCCCCATCCACGTCTCCAAATGTGGAGAGACAATTGGAGCTCAACTCGGTGCAAAACAAGAAAAGTGCAAAAGGTGGGACGAAGGCTCGGAGGGTGCCCCCAGTGCCACCACAAACAGCCCCCTCACACCCAAATCCCTTCTCCAGCTGGCTGAGGGCACCAGTCCTCGTTGCCCTGGCAGCCCTGCCACCACCTGAACCCCACTGTTGTCCCCTACAGGTGTTACAAGCGTGTTCCAGCCTGGACAGGGGGAGACCAGGTGGGGTCCCATCCCAGACCGGGAGGACACAGAGGAACCCAGCCTGGAAGGGCGGGACACGGGGGCCGGCCGGGGGTCGGAGGGGCAGGCGGTGCCAACACCGCCCCCCTGGGCTGTCCCAGCCCGTCCGCCCCTCCCTGCCCGACCGGCTCGCCCGACGGTCCAGCTTCCCTTCGCCTTCCCCCGCGGCGTGGCCGCTATAAATCAGACGGCGGCGGCTGCCGTCGGGGAGCGGGGCCACCCAGGCGAGTGCGACCGGGCTGCCTCTCCAGCCTCCCTCCCCGTCTGGATACCTCGCCGGACCACCCCCGCAGAGCCCCGAGATGAGCTCTCCACAATCCCCTCCCCGGGGCACGAAGGACCTCGAGGTGGCGGCGATGCTGCCGGGGTCCCCGCCTGCTCCCGCCGCCCCTGTGGCCCCGCGGGCGGGTTCCCAATTCCTGGCCAGCTGGCGCCTGCAGAAGCTCCGCATCCCGCACCGCGCCTCGGGGCGAGCCCGGCGCCGCACGGAGCCCCGCTCGCCGCCCGCGCGGGGCCTGGGGCCGCGGGGCGCGGGGAGCCGCCCCCTCCAGCCCGCCCGCCCCGGCATCATCGACTCGGACCCGGTGGACGAGGAGGTGCTCAGGGCGCTGGTGCTGGAGCTTGGCCTCGACAGGGCGGACGAGCTGCCGGAGCTCTGGCTCGGCCACCACGAGTTCGACCCCCCCGCGGACCTGTCGGCCGGCTGCTGAGGCTGGAGGGCTCCAGCTGGGGCGGGGGGCTCCGGCCTCACCCCACCCACCGGGACCCCGTGGTCCGGTGCCGCTAGGCGCGGGCAGCGCCCCGGCTGCCCCACGGGCCGGTGCTGCGGGCGCAGAGAGCGCTCGGAGCCCGGCCCAGGGTGGGAAGGGGCAGGAGGAGGGGCTGCGGTCGCGCTGCTCGCCCCCCAAAACGCGGGCGTCACGCTGGGCCAGGCGGCTCAGGCTGCTGTGTAATAAAATCTGGGAGGACTGTTCCGTCCTGGCTGTGCCCCTTTTCTTGTCCATCTCCGTGGAGGACACTGTGGGAAGCGGCCCCGGGTGGAAGGAGGGTCTGCCCCCCGCAGCTCCTGAGCCTTCTCTCGGATTACAGTGGCAGTACCAGAGGTGCCACCTCGGTGATGTCCCTGCGGGAGTGGGACCTCTCTCCCATCCGCTGCGGGAGCACTGCCGTGGGGCCGCTGCACTGGGGTGCCTGGCGGGGCGCGGGGGTCTGGGAGTGTCCCGGGGACTCCGGAAAGCTGTGGGGACATGTCTGCCTCCCGGGGAGGCACAGCCGGGACCACTGACCCTCCCAAATGCCTTCGGTAGCGGGTGCTTAGGCCCGGAGTCGGTTTTGGGGGGGCTGCGTGGGGTCCCTGGTCCCCCCCGTGAGGGGCTGCGGGCGAGAGGACGGCAGTGGATCGTCACAGGTGTCACTGCTGGCTCAGGTCCCGACACGCTCACGCTGTCCCAAAGCGCAGGGGCACAACGTGGGGGAGCTGTCCCACGGGAACACCAGCGAGGACCGGGAAGGAGCCGGTCATCCTCCCCCGTGCGTCCCGACACGAGCGCGGTGTCCTCGAGCAGGGTGTCCCCGAGCGAGGTGTCCCCGATCTCGGTGTCCCCAGGCGCGATGTCCCCGAGCTGGGTGTCCCCGATCATGGTGTCCCTGAGCGGGATGTCCCGATGGCGGTGTCTTCGAGCGGGGTGTCCCCGATCGCGGTGTCCCGATCGCGTTGTCCCCCTCGGATCCCTCTCGCCCTCCCCGTTACCCCGCAGGCGGCGCTGGTCCTCCGGGCCGCTAGGGGGCGCCGCCCGCCGCCGTTGCCGCGCTGTGCCGAGGCGGGGCGGGCCGGAAGCGCGGCCCTTTCCCGGCGGAGCGCAGCCATGGTGAGAGCGCGGCGCGGCCGCTCCCCGCCCTCATCCGCCGCCATCCGCTGCTCCCCGCGGGCCGCGGCCGCCCCAGCCCGGGGCAAGAGGCGCGGGAGGGAGCCCCGCACCGGGGCTCGGGGGGCGGGAGGCTGAGGGGGCCGGGGAGGGGCGGCTGGGAGGGCCCCGCGATGGCGGCGGCCCGTAGTGCATCACCCCGTAACACCTCCCGTCCTGTAGGCCCGCGGCCCCAAGAAGCATCTGAAGCGCGTGGCTGCGCCCAAGCACTGGATGCTGGACAAGCTGACGGGCGTCTTCGTGAGTGCGGGACGGGGTCGGGGTTGGGGTCGCATCAGGGGAGGTGCTCGGTCGCTGGTGAGCTTGGGCAGTCGGGCAGCTCGGGGGCTGTTCGCTGTTAGGGGCTTTGTGAACAGCATTCGTGTTTCCCCTGTTTGAAGAGGATGCGGTGGTGGGGTCGTCGGCTGCTCTTTTTTAACTTGCCTGTTGCGCTTTCCCGTCGCTGGGGCGACATAAGTGGTTGTGCTGTGTCGGGGGCAGCTCTGTGAGGCCGGCAGGACACGGGGGAAGCTGCTGCGAATGCCAAGAACAGGAAGCTGTGTCCGGTTGCTGCCTGTGTGGCAGCTGCACTCTGGACCTCTGCCCTCGGGTTCCTCCTCTGGGGGTGGTCGGTGCTGCTCGAGCCCCCAGCAGAGGGTTTCTGTCCGCAGGCACCCCGTCCATCGACAGGCCCTCACAAGCTGAGGGAGTGCCTTCCCCTCATCATCTTCCTGCGCAACCGGCTGAAGTATGCCCTGACAGGGGACGAGGTGAAGAAGATCTGCATGCAGAGGTTCATCAAGATCGATGGCAAAGTCCGCACGGACATCACCTACCCTGCAGGCTTCATGGGTGAGCGGGGCTGGGGCAGGACCTGGGGCAGCTCTGCACTGGCGGGGGGAATGTTTTATTGGGCTGGCATGATTTGGAGGGGAAAGATATTTCCTCGGTGGAGCTGAAGAAAAAATATGTATAAGCAGTTGTTATTTAGTTTGGAGTTGTGCACTGCAATGACTGCCAAAGCCAGATACCTGTAGGCTGTAACTGCATGCATGAACTGTGTAAATTGCTGTTCAGATCCCACCATTGGGTAGTTTTTGCTAATTTGCAGTCTTATCACAGCAAAGGATGTGAGCCTGTGGTCAGGGGGAGATCCCAACCTTGTCATTCACATCCCAAGCGTTTTTCAGCAGTCCCTGGCTCTTTTTAAACGTGAGTTAAAAGTCTTGGGTGATGAGCTGATTTATTTCCCTCTCTGCAATCAGATGTCATCAGCATCGAGAAGACAGGCGAGCATTTCCGCCTGGTGTATGACACCAAGGGCCGGTTTGCTGTTCACCGCATCACAGCTGAGGAGGCCAAGGTGAGGGGCTTGGTGTGAGTATGGGCCCAGTTGGGTTTGGCTGGGGCAGGGCTTCCTCTTTGGCGTCTCCTGAATGAGAGCTGTCGTCTCTCTTCCCTGACAGCTGAGGCCGTGCTGCACTTGAGAATATTGGGGCCTTCAGGGTTGGGGTGAAGCCGCTGGCAGGGGGAGGTCTCTTGGTGACACGAGAGCAGCTCCCAGATGGCTGCAGGTGCATTGTCTGGTGCTGGAGATGATGCTGCTGGCATGGACCAGGTCACCTGCACAGGGAGCTTTGGGGTGGGAGTGAGCCTTGGCTTTGCCAGCTAACAGTGATCAGAAACGTGAAACTGCCTGTGGTGTAAAAGCCTTGAAATCTTTCTTGGGTCAGTTATGGAAGTCTTAATAACTCACCCTGGGTGCTGGGGAGCAACTCCTGCATGTGTCTCCTTAACCCAGGCATGTTGT